AAATTACAGTATATAAATTACAAAATATAAACAGCAAAGTGTAATTAGTATAGGAAATCGTATGAACGCGAGTGCAATTAGTGATTTATGGGCACAAGTGATGTTTTGAAAGTTTTCAAAATTGCACGAGCCTTTAGGCGAGTGCAATTTGAGAACTTTCAAAACATCACGAGTGACCATAAATCACCAATTGCACGAGCAGTTCATACGATTTTTTGTTTATAATATTCTCAACAAAATTTTGCTGCGGCCATCGCGCTACTCTGCACACGAAACGCTTCACTAGCGTTTCCAGAGTGCTCACATGTTTTATTTGAACGCGCAGGCAAACCAAGCGTGAACTTTTTGAAAGAATTACAGTACTATAGTTTAGAAAATATTTAACCATTAACTTGAAAGCTTATTTCAATGCCATTAAGCGGCAAAAACGTCTCTACTTGTCCGGTACCGTTTATCACAATTCCGTATTGCACTCTATAACCTATTTATGCATTTGTCATTGACCAATCAGAAGCTGCATATTTTGTTGAGTATATTATAAACTTGTAAATGATATTGTAAAATTTTTTGAACAGCACTACAAGTCAATAATGCAGTACATGAACCAGGGTCCACTGTTCCTGAGTGTTCAGATGCATCAGCCCGACAGAACAGCGCATGCCTACATGGATGCACTGCAAGCTTTCTGGCCAGGACTTCAAGTAAGCTCTTACCACTATTAAAAGTGCCTATAACCCAAAACATTTTATTGGCCCAATTAAATTTTTGTATTATACTGAGTAAAATGCTGCAAACATTTTTGCGTTTGGTTAAAACCACAATTTTTTATGGGCCGCCAACGTTTGGGCTATTTTCTGCACAATTGAGTGCAGCAGAGACTGGGCCTAGTGATGTCATTCCTGGAATATGACACTGTCACTTCAGTTGTATCTCAACAACTGGTCAGGAGTGACAGTGTCACATTCCTGGAATGGATTCACTAGGCCCAGTGTCTGTGCTTCACTTGGTCGTGCGACAAATAGCCCAAACTTTGACAGCCCATAAAAAAATTGCGGTTTTAACCAAACACAAAATCTTTTGGCTCCGATGTATTTGTAAGTCCATACCTGTAATGTTTTTGTTTTGTCCTGTAGGTGCTGAAAGGTGACCTGAAGAAGGCCATTGAAACGCATCAGATGCTGTTTGAGGTCTCCAAGAAACATACTTTCCTACCAGAGGTAGTATATGTCTTCCTTGTTACACACAATATGAGTGACAAAAGTCAAAATTAATGTTAACTTACTTACATGTAAGATACATGGCAGAACGATTTTGCTGTGGACGTTGATCTATGTGCCAGGAAGCATGTGGTCACGATGTAAATTTTCCATAATTTTTATATCACAACGGTATGGAACATCCATCAAATTTGATCAGTATTAAAATTAATGTGAATTATTTTATAATTTTGATACAGACAAAAGTTACTTGACAATAGATCCCATGCACATGGGAAAAAAGTACTTCTGAGTGGTTTACTTTGTATGATTAATTACATTATTGTTGTTGTCACATGTATTTTTAACATGAATTTGTTTTGTCAGGCATTCACCACAGATTTTGAAGTTCACTGGGGACAGCATCCTCTTAGACCTGAACTTGTGGAAAGTACATACTTCATTTATGAGGTTAGACACTAAAATAATAATATTTGAGAATAATTATGTAGAATTAAATATCCACAGACTATTTACCATCGGTTGCACCCAAGCATGAACATGTCACATCACAGTTTCATTCAAACCTCACTTTGAGTGCCAAAGTTAGCGTAACGGGCCGTCAAACTTTCAAATGTTTGTTGACTAAACTTAATATGGACCATGTTTGATACCAATAATTAGGTCTTGTTTTTATGTGACGCGTTCATGCTTAAGCCTGGTTTCCATATGATCGCAGTCGCAATGATCGCAGCGATCGTTACGATCGTTGCAATCATATGGAAACCAGGCTTTAGCTGCAACCGATGGTATTTGTCCAATTTGCTAACTTTAGTTGGCCTGTTTGGACATACAATGCTAAACTAGGAATGCGATGTGTACAAAGAAATAATGGTGAATTTATTTCACCATCTTCATAGGGAAAAAAAGATACTGTACATGTACAGTAGATGAAGTCTCTTAAAAAAGCAAGATAAATCTGAAATGTTAACCCATTGACTACTGGGCTTTTTCCAAAAAAGTCAATCTAACATCCCAGATGCCTATTTCTGGCCATTATCTCAACAGTTTAATGTCAAACTGTCTAAAACTTAGTTTAAAACACGGCAACTAACATCCCCTTCTTCGTAGAAGCAACGAATTCAATATTTTCCTTGGGCATGCGCAGAAATCAAAATTTCAAAAACCCACCTGACTTTAGGCTTTTCTTTTCCTTTTATTTTTTTTGCCGTTCTCGCTCTCCTTTTTCTCTCATATTATTTTGTGGTTTTGTTGGCCTTTCAGTCGTCTTTGTTCACGTTGAAAAAGTTTTAGCCTAAACGTTGGGAAAAGGAAATTTTTTTGACAAAGAGTGTCAATGGTAGTGAAGGTCGCGTTTTTTGGTGATTTTGGAGGAAAAAATCCAAGTTGTTTTGTGTGTATCTCTGGTCCAATTTAACGTTTCGTGCTCGTTTAGGCATGCTTTGTTAGACATTTTCCAACTCTATCCGTTGATTATCAAAGACATCCTCTGGCGTGAACAGTGATGACGTCACAAGTGGTACAAGTCTGTGGTCTCTTCTTGGCCGTTTATGGCCGGTTTAGTAGTCAATGTGTTAATTAAATTTGATTTCATTTAGGCCACAGGAGATCCATATTACCTTGAAGTTGGAAAGCATATAGTGGAAAAGATAAATGAGCATGCTAGGGTACCCTGTGGTTTTGCTGCTCTTAGAGATGTCAGGACATTAAGTCATGAAGACAGGTGAAGTGAATATGTTGGAATGTGAAGAAGACACTGTTTTGGAAGGACAGTAGATTTTGGCCAGGAATCTACAGTAGAATCTCGATTTCTCGATCCCTCAATTTCTCAAAAAACCCGATATCTCGAACCAAGAGTCATTTCCCTTGGATTTGTTTCACTGTAATTTTACTCCCGATATTTCGAACTCCCGCTTGAACCAATTTTTGTTACCCTTTGAGGCTCGAGAAATCAGGATTCCTTAACCTTAACCTTAATTCTCTCAGCACCAGAAGGCACATAAGGCCGTCGGGATTCCACTGTATAATAATTGCCAGGATTTGGGAGCCTCAGAAAATTTACCGGGAAACTAGAGATAATATATTGAGTACATGCACATTGCAATATATCAGAAATACCACAGTACACTGCCACTTAATCTTAAAAAAGTACAGAGAATGTTCACAATTTTGGGGATTTGGGGATGACCTTCACCACTAGTACTGCTCAAATAGTGTCTATTAGAGTTGTCACCCCTCCTCCCGTAAGAAGCTCAATGCCTGACTGTGTGATGATTTTGTTTTCAGGATGGACTCATTTGTTCTAGCAGAGACATTCAAGTACCTGTATCTATTGTTTACTGAAAAAGAAGATCTGGTCTTTAATATGGACCAGTTTATTTTTACAACTGAGGCTCATCTTCTGCCTCTTAGTCTGTCCACTATGGCCGTGAATGCATCAGCATCGCAGGTAAGAGCCGCTTGATGGTCTTAATATTAATGGTTATTAATCAATGAAAAAAAAAACACGGGATAGAATTTAGTACTTGCCCAGGTGAGAATCAATCCTTTCGGGAAAGTAGAAAATGTAGATTTTCCGGTGCAATTCTTAAAGTCCAGGTACCACAGTATCAAAATTAAGTTTCCAATCCTGAAAATATGTTACAGACAGCGGTATTAAAGAACATGTAATGTATCTCTATGTGCGGTCAACTCTGTTAAAGTGTGACTACTTGAACCGGTCTGCTTGGAGGAAAACATAATTCTCTCCTGTATGTTCAGAAGATATATTTTTATGTATTTCAACCTCCACTGAGAAGTGGAGAAAATATATGATTTTTTTTTCAGTCATCCAAACCAAATCAACAAATCAAGGCCTGTTTGTCACTATAATATATGTAAGCAATGCAACTGACACTCCACCAGTGTGCATGTTGGTTGTATATAATGAAACAAATTGGCTCATATCAATTTGGTGTCAACAGCAGGCTTCCAGAGTAAGTTTTAAAGGGTTGTTTGTGTTTATGAATTTAAAAAAAATAATAATTTAAAGGCAAGATGTCGATGAGGAATTGAAACAGGTCAATAAATATGGACTTCACCAAATCACCTCAAGCTTTCTATTTGTTGGGTCAGGTTGCCGACCTGGTCGGGTTTTTGACCTGAAACCCTTCTCTTATCTGGAACACTGCAACAGTGGTCAAGTTAAACTCATATTTTTTAATGTAAGACTTCAAACTACATGTACAGTACTGTTGTCTCAGTTACTGGTAAACTGATGATTTACAATGTACTTACTCAAGGCTTTCGGGGTTTTTTTATACACAGGAACTTAAGTATAATCTAACCCTGAGCGCAGAAAATGAGCATGAGTATACATGCCCCATAACACGACATGAACAAGAGACAACTGCCAAGTATGCTGAGGAGGTGCGACGCAACAGCAGGGCACAAGCACAGGGCAGCTGCCCCAACAAGAAGCAAGAATTTGCTTTCAGCTCTAACAAGTGAGAAATTCAACTGTTGAACGTCTTGTATTCATTCATTATCTTTATATCAGTCACAAGTATCTTGGATTCCATGTTGCTTACATGTAGAGGGTGGTAAGGGGGTCATTTCGCATTTTGGCATTAAATGTGGAATGACTAATTTTGTTCTGTTATGAAACACGATCTGCTAAAATTAACAGTGGTGAATCATGTTTTACTTTGAACTGTGACTAGCATATTCACATGATTATTCCATGATCCTCGCAGTGAAGTTAACAACTTATGCAGTTGTTAAAAGAAAGCCTGAAATAAATTCAGGCTTGAACAGGACTAAAGCCCATGACCCTGCGATACTGGTGCAGTGCTCTAACCAATTGAGCTATCAACTGAAGCCAACTGGGAGCTGGTCAATTGTCACAGAATTGGCTCAATCTACATTCATGTCTAGTGATCCAGATTGAATTCAGATTGAAGTACTTATTGTATTGTTTTAGTGGAAGGAAAACTAAAATAACCTGTGTAAAAGCTTGCAGAGCAGCACAAGAGCAAAACATACCACTTTGTTCCTTTTTCGTGTCCAACCTTTGTGTGATTTGTTATCTTCAGGCCTCCACGGTTAAGAGCTGAGCAGTTTGTACCTGGTAATCAAGAACATATTAACACGCTAAAGTCCATGGGTATCACTGTGGTTCAAACAAAGGATGGCAGAATACAACTTATGCAAACTGCTTCAACGGTAAGATTAACTACACCAGCTGAGCCTTGTCCCTTTCAGTCAGTCAGACCAGTCAGTCAGTCAATCAATCAGTCAATCACTCGACAGTCAGTCAGTCTATCACACAGTCAGTCTATCACACAGTCAGTCAGTCAGTCCAGTCGACATTAGTCACACACACAGTCAGTCAGTCAGTTAGGCAATACATCTGACTGACTGACAGATGGATTAACTGCTAATTAAGGGCTCTCCAACTAACAAAATTAGTGCATGGGAACAACTATCTGTAACAATTCTAGTTAACTGCAATATCTAAAGCTTTTAACTATAATTTGAATTTACAAATAAATTGACTACAATATTAAGTAAACTATCAAGGAAATAAATTATTATTTAATATTTTTCCCGGATTTGCCTAAATGTGGAGGCTCTCTTACTCTGGGTGATTTGTGGCCAGTATTGTAGGCAATGCTGTAGATTCCAAACAATAGTACATTACAATGAAGCTCAGTTCTGACAATAATAATTTATTATAATAATAATTATTATGAAACACAAGTACATTTTTAAACTTTGAAAAAAAGAAGACCTGCAGTAATATTCAGTAATGTTGAATATAAAACTTAAACGTACAAGTGTTAGATTGTTGAAACAAGTTTATGCGTTTTGATGGTGGAAATTAGAACAAAACTACTTAAGCAAAGTGCAGTATGATCAATTTGATCATAACGTTAAGACAGTACATGTATGATATCTGCAGAAGAAGTCATACTTTAGCTGTAGTTGTAATCACAGCCTGTATGTTTGACACCACGGCTACTCCACATACCATTTCACCATCATAGACCATCATATCATATCATCTTCTAAATTAATCCACAAGCCAAAAATGACAAAAGGTTCACTCTATAATTTATAATAGGCCATCAGCGACGCCTCCAATGAAAGTGAGGATGGCACTTTTTACACCATTTTTGTTGTAAGTTTAACTTTTCTAATCCACCTAATCATATCATCCATCTCCTCAGATAACAAATGCAGCACATTAAAATTGTAGTGTAGTAATAATTTTATCAGCATTAGTAGCCAGTTGTTTTGCCATGATCATAACTGACCATAACAAATAAACATCAAAATAATAAACAATTTTAATGATTGAGAACATCTAAAATTATCTAATCTTCTAGCTGACTATATTAGTCGGCTAATTAGGGACACTATTCACTGAAGGTCATGGTCAATGTCAGGGCATTTATTACAACCTTAAATTCTACGTAGTTATCCATGCCAACATTTAGATAAAAAATATTACTGCTTGCAACACAATCATAGTTTAAAAAGAGGTAAAGAAAATTCTTAACCCTTTATGACCTGATGTCAACATACAAATTCTCCTTTCTACAATGTAGTCTCTAGATATTTCTTATAGTATTGGTTGGGAGATTTTGATTAATGGTACAACCATATTTAAAGGGCATTTTCCCTGAGTGACAGTGAGGAATTGCTCTATTCGCACAACGTTTATGCCTTATTGTGCATTGATATTTTCAGGAGAAATTTGATGGTGATCACTCACATTTTACTTTCTGATTGGACCATAAGAATAGGAAAACGTCTTTGGTACATTTCTATGTGTATTGCGAAAATTATTATTATTAAATTGCTCAAGGTTCCGAATCCCTCAAATGATGGTTAGCTTTACAGAGTAGCTCTTCGTGTTTCATTCGCGTATGTTTGTTTTAACAAGTAGGTTTTTTTTTCACAATTGGACATGTTTTGTTTTTCTTATATCTGCGGACCAGGCTGATACACAAGGTGATGCAGAAGATGGCATCAAGTTCATGCAAGAGATGATTGAATTGGCAAAACAGCGCAATGATGAATCAGGTATAACATGTGTTGAAACATAATGACAAGGATGTACATGTATGAATAAGTGTTACGTTTGTTAGACCACGGCTATATCTATCAATCTAGGGGGGTGCGGGAGCATGTTCCCCTTCCACCACGTTAAATGTATAAATGTAGGTTTTCTAAGATGCTATTTCCTGCATGCTGGGAGCATTTGTGACCATTGCAACATACCATTCGACAGACATTGTTCATAAAAAAGTTCCCATTCGAACTTGGGAGGGGGACACCCCTAAATCTGCCAATGATTAATTTTGTTAAACCAAATTATTGTTCTTCAAAGTTGAAAATCTAATAACTTTAGAGGATTACCTACAATCTAGGTGTAGTTTTGCACTTGTCTAAATCACAGCATTCCTTTAATGCATACTGATAGTGTTTCGAGTCCAACAATCTCTGTTTAAAATGTTTTCTGTTCCTCAGTTCGATGCAGTGAAGTTACACACTAATGACAACCATTTCTTTATAGCTGTCCAAGAAAACCCTCGCGTGGTTCAGCTCATGTCTGCACCTTACAAGGGAGATGTAGTGCTTAATGCCTGTCCAGCGCAGTTTGGTCTGGATCTTAGCAGAGGAGATGTAGGGGTAAGTATAATACACCTTATTCATAAATGGCTGTCCTGCAATATTTTGTTTGGCTGGGTGTTCTAAAAAATTGAGGTCATCACTGCATATTCCTAAGCAGCCAGGAGTGCGTGATGACCAAATAACAGCTGCATAGGAGACTACACAAAGCACAGCAAAATTTATTGTCTTGAGAAGTTTGAGTGTTTTTAGTTTTACAGCTCCAATTCAGTAAATTCCAATTCAAGACATTCGTATGGGAAATCACAACCTGATCACAGCATGTTTCTTTAACCTTAGACGTCAAGAGTAAAGTCCATGCACATGATAAATAGTCGGAGAAAGCACACAGTGCGGTCATGTGGCGCATTCTAAATGATCAAAACTGTTCTATTTGTAGATGGGTGCAGAGGTTTCTATAGCTGAGCCTATCAAGGCGTGTTCCTCTCTCACTAATGCTGAGGAGCTGAAGCACAGAATTGCTGTCATGGAAAGGGGCGAGTGTATGTTCATTGACAAGGTACGGAGAACAAGTAAACAGAGGTAGTGAGATTTCAGTGGTTTAATGTTATGTCTGGGATTCGAGCTCTGGTCATGTTTTAGGCAAGACACTTAACTCTGACAGTCTCACATGCCACTGGGCGTGAACAGGAGTGACAATGATGCCTCTTCACCCAAGGTGTATAATTAAATTAATTAATTAAAATTTAAAAAAAACAAGAACCATCGGATTTTTGTGCCACCCTTCAATAGACTAACATCCCATCCAGGGGGAGTCACTTCTTGCCACGGAAACCGGAATTTGCTTTATCATTAATAATAATTATTGTTTGTTTGTGTTTTGTTGCCAGGCTCGCCAAGCTCAGAGTGCAGGCGCGGTTGGTGTTATCATTATTGGTAAGATGTGTAAAAACCTCTTACCTGTAGCTTGTAGTGAGAAAATTGATGGCTTACCTTTGATTCTCTTTAAGATTGGTTTATCCCTTAGCCTGTGAAAGCAGCCGTTCTTTAGTTGTATTCTTTAAAACCGATTGTTTGATTGAGTTTGGCTGAGTTCTTTTAAGAAATCCTGCGGGATAGGGGACTATAGCGGGAGTTTTTTCCCTGTGCACCTTTTTCGCGCGCAGTCTTTTCTCTTGTTTCTGCGACCTAAGAGCCTGGGTACTGGCAGCGGTCGAATTCTCATAACTAATCTAAATAGTGGCATGTTGTTGTTGTTGTGTACAGATAACAACAAAGGCAGCTCGAGTGATTCACAGCCAATATTTGCTATGGCTGGTGATGGTTCCAATAATGATGTGAAGATAGCAGCTGTGCTTCTGTTCAGTGAGGAAGGACGCATACTAAAGAATGCCATAGCTGCAATGGAGGATGTTAATCAGCGACTCACAGTGCGTCTAGCTTCCAAAGCTACTGGCTTGTCAGGTGTGACGGTTAATGTATGATGTACTACCAAATTCTCAACAGTAGCATTAAAATAAATGTATGTCAATTAGTTAGGAGAAATAACATCTCCACTTAGGAACTGTAAAAGGTTAAAGAGCTATGTCACGTTATTTTAAGTCATATTTTTTTTTGCAATGCGCAAAATCGCCTTCAAATTGAAGAAAACCTCAAAATAATTGTTTACTAAGGTAGAAAAACACCAAAGATGTAATAATAAACCAAACAGGAACAAGGATGGCTGAGGATGGAGAAGATTAAGATGGATAAATTAACAGCCATAGCGATTTTGGAAAGCTAACCTTTTGAGCGTTAGCCCTTTGTCGGAGCAAAATGGAAGCTTCTGGGTCACGTCGACGTGTGTGTTTATAAGCTTCTTTGCTTTACTTGGTTAGAATTGTTAAGTTCCATATGTGTCAACGAATCGATGTGTTCTCGACATTTCTGACCGAGCTGTTAACAATGTCAATTTGTTTTGTTACTGATCACAGCAAAGAGAGAGCCTCCAGTTGCTGGGCAACTAAAGGAGCCATCAGTAAATAGAGAATCGCAGGAGAACCAAGAATTTGCAAGAGAAGATGGTCAGCCATCCGCTGGCAGTGTAAATATTCAACAATCGTCATCCGAAAATAAAGACATTCATAGTAGTAATACTGATCAAAACGAGCCGGGAATGGAGGACAAACAATCACCGCAAACCGGCGATGAAAGCTCAACCTCATCAACATCTGGAAACAGTGAACTACATACTGAAGACACGC